CATTTTTATTCCCCTATTTCCTCTTGCCGTGAAAAAAGAAGGAACGAAAAAAAGCTGTGGGGGGTGGTGATGGTGAAGCAATTCTCAGTCTGACTGCTTCGGAGAAGTCTGGTCGTTCAACAGAGGCACAGACAGAGGGGCAAAATCCAATGTGGAGTGGGATGGGGAACTTCTACAAATTCCCCCAAACTAAAGACCAAGACAGTGTGTAAGGCTTTGCCCCGAATTTGTATGAAACACTTTTGTTTTAAAATCTCTGATCAGTGAACTTTCAACCGTGTCTGAGAACTTGAATTGGGAAAACTGCAAGAGATTTTCGTCTTATTTCTAACTGTCGCCCTCCCACCGCCCCCCTTATTTTTAAGCATCTGGGTGTTTTTAAGTAAAACGGACATGGAAGGTGACCGCCGCTGTTTCTTTGAAATGTCCTTGGGTCCCAGGATGTGCTCCCCTTGGGATGCTGGCGCCTTGGGTGGCGATGAGTGGGGTGAGGGTAGAGGGTGCAGTGCTAAGAAGTGGCACGCACGTGTTGAAGGGTCACAAAAACTGCTGAATATCTGATAGTTGGGGAGGCACCTCCCAGGTCGATTACGTGGGTCTCATTGACCTTGGCAGTCCGGATGAGTGTGAGATTTTCACAAACCACCACTGAACAATTTTTCCAATGATACAAGACAGAAATCAGTGTGTTTTTTTTTCCCTCCAGCGCCATAATTAACCTTAAAAACAAAACAAAAACTTTCTTTAGTAATTCAGTACATTCTATTTTCCATTGTGGTATAGATGTTTGCCCAATAAATTTAGAGGAAGTCAGTGTTCCATGAGGTGTTCAAATCATTAAAGAACAGGGTATTTATTTTCTCCCTGTCACTGTGAGAATTACTGATGGCGCATCTCACCTTGGCTTATGGATGTTCCTGGGTGATTATAAACAAGCTATTTAAGAAACATTTGAGAGTTGAATGAGAAAGGAATGGCAGCTGGTTGCTGCTTTTAAAGACAACAGATTCTTTATTTGCCACTCATTCCCACATTTACACCTCCAGGTAACACTATTTTAAGGAGACACGTTAAAGTCTTCTAAGGCTAAACACCTGTGTCTATAGAACACCTGAACAGTCATGAGGTCGATCACTGAAACCATGACAAAGCTCTGAAGGTAGAGTTCTGGGGTTATTTGTATTTCTCTTGAGTGTGAAGAGTCAGTTATGGGAAGCTGCCTTGATCACAGAGGCCAAATGGCACAGACAGAGATAGAAGGAGGCAGGGTTTTGGCTTCTTTTTCTTCTTAGCTCACTCTGTGTACATTCAGATCCTGTTCTTTGATTCAGCAAGTATGGGATAGGCGCCTGTCTCATAGCATCTGGCCCCAGGGCCTGGTCCTCAAAGGTTCTCAAGATTTAGCTGGGTAGTGACATCTAAAGATCAACATGGCTGATCTCAGCTATGTTCTAAGAGCTTCTGCATATCTGGAATTTAGAACAAAACAGTAACTTGCAAACCCACTAAATATATATATTAGCCTAGGAATGGAATGACCCCCCTCACTTCCCACCTAGTCCTTGTCTGAACCTGGAAACACAACCAGGCTAAGCTCTGGCCCGAATCCAGTCCCAGCCCAAGGGCAGAGCAGCTACTGCCCTCTTTGCTCCAGGAACTGCCCCGCCCTTGGTGCCCCAAGAGCCCAATGATTGCACTTCCAGGAATGAACTCCAGTTTCCAAATAACTGAATACCAACTTCCTGGTAGCTGAGTTTTCTCCACCTGGACTATTTCAAATTCCCCTAGTTCCACAATTTTTTTCAATAACCCAGAATTGTGGGCTCCTTTTGGTTCTTGGTTAAATAGTACCTAGCTCCTGCTCTTTTTTCTTCTTCCTTTTTTGTGGTGTTAGATGATCTGGTTGCAGGTAGACTTACTACGTATCTAGAAAAGAGGAGTCGATAGGCTCATCCTGGGGGAGGGCAGACTTGAGCCCTGGCCATCTGCAGGTCAAATGGGTCACCCCAATATAGCCTTTCTTAGTCTGGTTATTACCCGAGTGCTGTTTAAGAAAATAAAATGAAAATCAAATCTTTTGTCTACTCGGTGCGCCCTTCTCACCTGAGAATGTCATGTTCCCACAGAGATTGGAATCTTTGAAAGAACCATGTATCATCAAAATGGCCCTATCCTAAAGCATGCTTGTAACACACCCTTCAAGTGAATATGTGTCCTGAAGCAGATACTTAAAAGAACTCAAAATACTGACTCAGTGTCATCAAGCATCTGAGAAGAGACACACCAGAGCTGCAGTGAATAGTATTAACATGAGACAAAGGGAGTATCATGTCTCAAATTTTACCATGAGCAGTGAACTCTGTTCTATTCCAGGTACAGGTGGCTCTCTAAAATTAAATGCCCTCGCCTTAGAGGCATGTTTGTAGACACTTGGCCAGTGCTAAGGACACAGTCCTTGCCTTCAGGGATCTTCCAGTCTTCAGAGAAGCCCTTGGAGGATTTTCAGCAGAGCAGGTTTGTGTTTCAGGAAGTTCACTCCAGCTGCGATGAGAAGAGGGAAATGGGGAAGATACAAGCAAGGCAGCTGCTGTAAAAATCCACACGAGAGGAGAGAGAGGAGTGAATTGATTCCAAAGATACTTAGGCAAAGGTGGTGTGTAAAATATTAACTCAAAGAAAATATTAGATGACTCAAGTCTCTGAAGCTCATTTACATGTCATTTCAAAATACACTTGTTCCAGGTAGATAACCATAAGCCACATCTCATCGCAATGCTGTCCCTACTGACTGTACTTACTCTCGGGCCCCACATCGTTTGTTTCTATCACAGAAAAGAGGTTTTGATAAAGAACGAGCCAATGTTTTTTTTTCATGCTTTCAATACCCTGGTGCTTCTTTATGTAGACTTGAATATGTGCATCTGAAAACAAAGTTAAGGTAAACTCTTATCCTCGTATTCTACATACATTCCCTGATTTAGCACAATTCTTCCCTGAAATAAAAATATCCTAACTTTTGATTGTGCAGCAGTAATGTCAGTGGGCAGTAGAACAGTTTGTTGTTATTGTTTGTTTGCTTGTTTGCTTGTTTTGGTTGGCCACAGTGTGGCCTGCTGGATGTCACAGGGAAGACTGGATTATGTTCACAGGGTACAGTATTAGAGGCTGCATTCATGGTATGTAAGAAGCACCGATGCCTGTGAGAGAAGAAAAGCCACCCTAGTTACTGCCACATGTATAGCTTTTTAATACAATATGTATTTGGATATATTCATTGTGCACTTGTTTATTTGTTCCAGAGTGAATCTGTACATGAAGGAATTTCAAAACGTTTTAAATTTTGGTGTTAAATCTTTCTCCCCCCATTTGCTAACTGACTACATATCTTGGGTCATTTATGTGTGATTAAGTGCAGAGTTGATGTGGACTTTACAGCTATAAGACAGTATCCTCCTTATGTGGTGATCAGACTGCCCAACCTCAGTCCTTCAGAATATTTACTGCAACCTAGAAATAAATAAAAGAAGTCCACGTGCACCTGCAAATAGTAAAGAGCTACAGACTTGGATTCTCATTAGAACTTACAAGGCATCAGTTTTTGATTGCTAATGAGCTTGGCTGTCTGGGTTCCTGGCCCACAGCAAGGAGATCCACTTTATAAGTTCAGTGCATGGCTGTTAGGATAAATATGAAATGTAGTGACAACCAACTGCTCAGCAGGGAAGGCAATACCCAGAAGGTTGACTGTGACTAAATTCTAAGTCTGTAAGAAAATAAAAGTTGGGTTCAGAACTATCTGTTAGCAAGGAAATAAGTATTACATTTTGGAAAAATGGATTCTAGTCCTTTTTAGAGCTAGAAAAGGACCTTAAAAGTCATTTGGTCTAACCACCTTAATTTACAGATGAGGAAACTGAGGCTCAAAGAGGTTAAATGATGTCTCCAAGGTCACATAGCTGCTAACTGGATAAGTTACTGGGACCAGAATCTATGAGTCCCAATTTCCAGTTCAGCCGTCTTCCTACTCCCATCCAAAAAGTGGAAATTTTAGTGATATGGAAAATTCATTATCTTTTGATGTACCTTTTCCCTCAAATATTATAATAGCCATATATGTAATACATAAAAATATAAATATTATTATTTACATACATAGTATCAGTTATCTGTTGCTGTGTAACAAACAACCCCCCCAAACATAATGGCTTAAAACAACCACCATTTATTTAGTCTATGACTTTGTGGATCAGCAGTTTTGGCCTGGCCAATCTACTGGTCTTGTCCAGGCTCCCTTACGCATCTGTGGTAACCAGGGTGGCTCTGTCTCTGGGTGTTGGCTGACTGTTGGCTGAGTCCACCAGGAAGCAGCTGGGCCTCATGCCCTCCATCACTGGACAGGCAGGCCTGGGCTTGTTCATGTGTCAGCTCAGCATGGTTGTAAGCAGGAGCACAGGAGCAAGGCTCCTTAAGGTCTAGACTGAAATGGACACAAGTTGCTTCTCCTCCAGGGTTAGCACATCAAGAGGTCAGTCCAGATGCAAGGGGTGGAGAAACAGACTCCACCTTTTGTTGGGAGGAACTGCAGAGTCATCGGAGAATGGCATGGGTTCAGGGAAGAGTGGAGAGTTGTGGTCATTTTTGCAGTCTACCACGTTGGCAGAGTACTTTATGTAACTTACCTGATTCTCACAAAGACACTAGAGATTAAGGTGGAATTCCTATTTTACAGGTGAAGTAATTGAAACGCAGATATATTAGTCTGCATTAGGCAGGGGATGCAG